CCATGTAAACTAACACTCAATTCACAATAAAAGCTTTATTAATAAGAAAACATGAAGAACATCTACAAGCCAATGTTCACAAAATGTGAGCAATTTAAGTTTACAGAGAAGAAAGGAAAAAACAGCAATAAACATAAAAAGCAATTCAACCTCAATAGTAACTAAAGAGACAAAATGAAGAAAGCCATAGCCCATTCATTCATCCCACCTTTTCACCGCACACGTGTTTTGCTTGCCTCCTCAACCCAGCTTAAATCTTAAGTCCTTCCTTAGAATCTTCCTTTCCCATCTCCCACTTCAATGAAGTTTTATATTAAACTATAATCATGATTATATTCAATTCTTCAAAGTTCTGTTACTGTAGCCACATAGAATGTAAATGGTGGTGGGTGGGTAGGAGGGAGGGAAATACACTTGTTCTCACCTTAAACTCAGAAACACCAACTTCAAGTGGGCTCCTGTTACTACCAAACAGCATGCCATACTTTCTTATTTCATTCAACCTCCCACTCCCTAAACAACTATTTCTTACCTTCTCCTTTTCCCTCATATGAGCCCTGTGGGTTAGGTTGCTAGCCACAGGGTGAACAATACAAATCTACCCGCCATTCCATGGAAAAAAGACGAGAGATGAAGCTGTCTGCTCCCATAAAAATGTAGTTTCAGAAATGCTTCCCAGGGTGGCTGTGAGTCAGAACTGACTCTATGCAGTGGGTTTTACATTGTTTGGTGTTACCTCATGCTTACAGCATCTTCTCCCCCATTCTCATCCACAGATTTCCTCTCTGTCAAAACAGCTCTTCTCAAGGTGACCAGAAACCTCATTTGTTAAATTACCCTTTCAATTTGTAGTTGTTATCAGCTGCATTTAACACACTAGGTTACAATTTCAGTATGAAAGTAGAAGCAACAAGAACTTTATCAAACATCCATCACCGCTTTTACCCATCTACCTATATCCCGTTGTTCTTAAGTCGGTTCTGACCCATAGCAACTCTATATAGGGTTTACCGAAGAGAGGCTGGTGAGCTTGAACTGCTAACCTTGCAGTTCAACCGGCTTTGAGGTCTGACGCATTAAGCCACAGCGCCACACCAGGACTCCTATTGTCTTCTCTCCTATTAGAGTGGAGAAGCTCTCCAAGCCCCAACAGTGGCAACTCCTCCACATGTATATCAGATTCCATCGCTTCATGTCTACCACAGAACAAAGGTCCAACGATTTTTGTCCTTCCCTGTTATTTCTGCCTTCTATTAAACATCCTGGTGTGCTGCTGTATGATAAGCACTGCACTATTAACCACAAGGTTAGAGATTCAAGCCCATCAACCGCTCCTTAATAACTCTATACAATCTATATCATCATCCTCCAGGTGCTCTGGTAATGTAGTGGTTACGAATCGGGCTACTAATCTCACGGTCAGCAGTTCGAAACTACTAGCTGTTCCATGGGAGAAAGATGAGGCTTTCTGCTCTCATAAAGATTTACACCCTCGGGAAACCCTGTGCAGGGTCGCTATGGGTTGGAACCAACTTAACGGCATTTAACAACTACAACAGGGTTCAGTGGGAAGTTGCTATTCCACTTTTAGTGTGTGCTGCCATCTAGTGGGTGGCCTGTATCAGTGTGTAAATGTGAAGAGACCCCTTGGGACATATGTGTCCTGGTGTGGTAACCAAAAGGTTGACGATTCAAACTCACCATGTTCCTTGGAAAGCCTATACAAGGTTGCTATGAATTGAATCTGCCCTTAATAACAATAACAACTGTATCAAAATCCATATTATCTCCAAAAATTTTTTCATTTCATTCCAAATGACTTCCATTTCTGAAAATACATAGCTTCAATAAAAAATTCAAAGTATTAATTAATCTAGTTTTGAAAAGGCTAATAAAATTCTTTGACCCATTTCTCCCACCAACCTATTATTCCCCTTTCTTTTATAACATAACTCCTTAAAAATAAGAATTTTTTATACTTGCAGTCTTAAATGTCTCTCCTTCCATATTCTTTCTTAAATCCAAGAATTTACTCTACCTCTCTGTCAAAACAGCTCTCCTCAAGGTGACCAGAAACCTCATTTGTTAAATTATCCTTTCAATTCATAGTTATCAGCTGCATTTGACACAATAGGTTGCACCTTCTTCCTTGAAATACTTGAAGGCATCATCTCTCCTGGGTTTTCTTTTATCACTTGTGCTGAGTCTCCTTTGCCAGTTTCTTCCCATCTCCCTAATCTCTGTAAGTACAATGGTGCCCAGGGATCAATACTGTCTAGCTATTAACACTCTCCTTTGTTGTTGTTGTTGTTAAGTGCCCTTGAGTTGGTTCTGACTCATAACAACCCTGTATAGAGTTTCCAAGGTGTGATTGGTGGGTTTGAACTACCGATCTTGCAGTTCAAACCAACTTTGTGGTCCAGTGCTTATCCTACAACGCCACATTATCTCATATAGTCTCAGGACTTTAAATGTCTCTGGAGCCAATAAAACAGTGACTACTGACAACAACACAGACTGATATCACTCAATTGTATACAGCTCCACCCGACCTATCTCCTGAACTCCAGATGCCTTTGCCCAACAGCCCACTCTACATCTCCAGTTAGATGTTGTGCTGGATCTCTTCCATTTGCCACTCCAGATTCACCTTTCTCCACTTTATTCTGCCCTAGGAGGTTGAGCTACATGGTGATGATAACAGGTTTCCCCTGCCTCTGGCTTCCAGTAGGTTAAGCTTGTGGGAAGCCCTGGCAGGAAACTGGAGGATATTTCTCTGTCTCTCTCCCTTTGGACTAATCTACACTACCTTCTCAAGGTAATCTTCTCTACATGAATCTTTCGTTTAGTATAACAGTAACTCTGTTTACCTGGTCTGACAATGCACTATCCCTGTGATCCTTTTTTTACAATGGCTCCTTCATTAAAGTTTCCTTCTAATTATTTTGAGCATGGCATCTGTTTTCTCCAGACATCCTCACTGATACAGATACGTAAGCCTCATCAATGCAGATATCTAACTGGCATCTCGATTTTATCAAGTCTAAAACCGAACTTCTTCTATCATTTCACCCAGTCCAGTTAATGGCTGTTGTTGCTGTTAAGGGCTGTCAAGCCGGTTCTGACTCACAGCAATCCTGTATAGGGTTTCTGAGGCTGTAAATTTTTGCAGGAGCAGATAGCTTTCTGCTTTTTCCCACAGAGCAGCTGGTAGGCTCAAACCACTGACTTTGAGGTTCACAGTCCAGTGCTTATCCACAGCTTTATCCTTTAGCTGTTTGGGCCAGAAACTTGGCATAATTCTTACATGTCTTTTCATCTCATACCTCAGAATAGATCCAGAACCTAATCACATTTTACCACCTCTAATGCTTCCCATAACTGGCCAAAATGCAAGTAACAAGAGAGAAATACTCATTGGACAGGCAAAATTATTTAGGACAATAATTCTTTTTGAACAATCAATGAGCTGAATGCAAGCCTGCACCTAAGAGGGTCATGCACTGTATATTATAATGACACTAGATTGAACCGTGGCCCGCTGACTCACAATCTAATATTCTCTCCATTTACCTCTTCCTCTCCTATTCAGAAACTTTACTAAGTTAGAAAAAAATTCATCAATTTATGACTCTTAGTCTGGTAAAAGCATTTAAAAACTACAAGCAAATGAGGCAGAAGAGAGGTAAAACTCAAAAACAGCATGTTCTTGTTAAGTGCCATGGAGTCTGATCCAACCCCTAGTGACCCGTATAGGGTTTCTGAGGAGCGGCTGGTGAGTTTGAACCAATGACCTCAAACTGACCTTGTATCCCAGCTCATTAACCTGCAGCAGCACCCCACCAAGTCTCTAAAAAAAAGGCATAAAAGTGGGGACAAACAAGAGTTCAAGAACAAACTGAAAAAATTAATTTGGATTTATTTCTCTCACATCTCCATCTATTAATTTTTCTAACATGATCATAACAAAATTTTTCTTGTTGAGGCTCACATGCAGTTGCAAGAAATAATACAGAGAAGATCCCTTGTACATTTCACTCAGATTCCCTAACGATAACACTTTGCAAAACTATAATAATAACAAAACTGGAATACTGATACACTCACATTGATCCCATCCATCAAACTTCTTCAGTTTTCCCAGTTTCTTTGTTCTCATTTGTGTACATGTGTGGGTGTTAAGTTCTACACAATTTTTATCACTTGTGTAGGTTCGTATACTCATCACCATAGTCAAGATATTGAATAGTGGCAGCAACACAAGACTCTCTCATTGATAACCAAAAGCTACACACACACACACCTGGCACCCATGACTCGATCTTCGATCCAGCCTTTAAATTCCTACGTCAGACTCCAGAGGTACACCCAGTGCCACCCCATTATTTCCTGTTACTACTCTCCAGCTCTACTCAGCTCAACCTCACTCAAGGTGGAGTCAATAACAGCAGTCAGGGCAGGAATGGGCTTTCCACCTTATGGACAGAGAAGGCTGAGTCCCAGATGCAGAAAAGAAAACTTGTGGTATTCTTGTGAATGCAGTTCTAACATGTACACATCTATTAATATGCATATTCGTGGCTATAAGAAAATATGGAAAAAAGAACATAAATATCTAGAAATTTCGTAAAGCTTTGTATCAATGCAAGTATGGATCCCTCTAAAATCAGAGAGCATTAGCATCTACTTCTGTTTCTCAGGTTCCCTACTTCAGAGGGGCCTGGTTCAGTATTTTTCACCTACATAAAGCCTTTTTATCCATCTCAGCAGAAAGATCTAGTCACTGTACATGAGTACCTGGATATTCTGATTTCTACTTTTACAAGCTTCATTTCCCCCTTGCAGCCACTTAGAAACACTGTCCCTTACTTGGATTTACAATCCAAATACCAAAGGATGGATTGCTAGTTATAAAAATGCTACTTTAAAAAGGCACATTAACAAAATGTCTATGCAACTTTCCCAGCATTAAGCAGTATGTGTGCAACTGGAATTCATACCTGCAGAGCTAAGGAGGACGCTGAAATCTGTCCCCCTCTGCGATTCTCCACTTTCATTATCGACCTCTTTTTCTGTATCTTGGTATCGATCCCAGTTAGAGACAATCTTTCTTTTAGAATAATTTCCCTGTTCATCATTCTCTTCTCCGTAAGTCTCTGCATCACTGTCATCTTCAACCTGCAATCATTAGAGGTAAATCGGTAAACAGACAGTGGAATCTTGACCTTAGCAGCCTTAGCAATGATATAAAACAAAATAACAACAAAAGGTATCATTAAAAAAAAAAAAAAAGCAAACCTACAGACAAAGCTGTCTGAAGATACTAAACAAAATTTCAGGAGAAATACATTACACCAGAGTAAACTTTTCATTTAGCATTGAAAGGGAATCTGGAAAATTACTGTCTAAATGTGTGTAACTGATATCTCTAGCATCTACCCTAACACAAAGGAACTCCAAAAAGTCTACGGAAAAATAGAATGAAAAGATAGTGAAATTTTTCCACAAACTTTTTTAAAGGCCCCTTTGCATATCCTATTTTACTCATTTTTTTCATCTAGTTGAAACAAAGACTGAAACAGGACTTCAGGGTGGAAATAAACATTTTACAAATTTCAGGAACACACTCCATAAATATTTTATCAATTTTAAATAAGAGACCTGCACAGATGCAGTCTAGAGAACTGGTCCCCAGTCCTGGACTTTAAAGGGCTAAGAGAACATGCAGATTAAAATGCAGATTGTGAGAAATTCAAGAAGACAAAAAGCCCAATTTCTTATACAAATAAATTGCAAGGGGGGCAAACTGTGAGGGAGGGAGGCGAAACCTATAGATTAAAAGAGTTGAAAGAAAACATCTTGTGTGCCATGGAATCAATTTGACTTACCCACAGAGTGGCTGGGTGGGTTCGAACCACCAACAGAAACATAACCAATTAAAATGTAGTGAACCTATCTGTACCTGATTTAAATGACTTAACTAGAGAAAATCATCATTTATGAAACAACTGGGAAAATGTGAGCAATAACTGTATACTTCTACTAGATTATACTAAGAAAATACTGTTTCTTATTGATTGTTTGGTGTGATGGTGGGTATCTGATTTTTTTGTGACATTTTATCTTTTAGAAATAAATATGGAACTATTTATGGACGAAAATATGTGGCATCTGCGATTTGCTTCTTTATAGCAGGTGGGGAGGAGTAGTGAATAGAGATGAAACAAGCACAGGCACAACTTTTAACTACTGACTGATACATGGAAAATAATTCTATTGTACTGTCTACTTTCAAGCTCACCAGCTGCTTCTAGGAAACCCTACGCAGAGTTGCTATGGGTCAGGACGGGCTTGATGGCATTTAACAACAAACAACAACAACTTTCCTAGTAAGTTTGAAATTTTCTATAATTGAGGCTAGTGTCAGATGTGGTGCTGCAGATAAGTACTGGACGGCTAACCTCAAGAACAGCCATTCAAACCCACCAGCCACTTCCTCCGAAACCCTATATAGGGTCATTATGGGTCAGAAGCAATTCAAGGATGTAAACAGAATGTAAAGACAGGGTTCAAAAACATCATGACAATTATAAAATTCTCAGCAAGAAAAAAATTAGTGAAATGCATTAAAACAACCCATCTGTATAAGATAAGTTAGTACAGCCTTTTTTATAGAGAAGCCTTAATTAACTCAAAAATAAGACATGCACATTGTAATAAACAATATACCGCCACCTTCCTGTCTCCCAGAGAGCACCACTATATAAACACCTTAGTGTATATACTTCCAGGTCTTTCTCTACATATTTATGTGTATGTGTGTATTCACCAGCTTTTTTTAAAAAAATATTCTCCACCTTTCCATTTCAGTACATTTTCATTTCAAGTAATACCCAGACTAGTTGCAAATTTCCCTGATCCTGAAAAAAAATTCCTTTACAGCAAGTCTGCTCAAACCAGTTCCCAATTCGGCACCATGCATTGTAACTGATTGTTTTGTGCCTTATGTCCTCTTCTTCTCTAGCACAATCCCTTTTTTATGACACTGATTTATTGAAGAGACCAGGTGAGGTATCATGCAGAAGGGCCCGTCTTCTGCCTAGCAGCTTGCTCCTGGGAGCATTATTTCCATAGTTCGTTCTTTTATCTCCAATATTTCCTATAATCTAAAATATCTAATCACCTGATGGACTTAAGCTAAATATTTTTTTGCTTAAATACGCCATAGATAGTACTCTGAATTTCATCTTGCACCACATCAAATAACACATAATGAATGTCTGGACCAACATAAGTAAGGCTAAGAATGGGTGATTAAGTCTGACCTACTCACTGTAACATATCTTGTCTCCCTTGGATCTAGGAAATTATCTTTGTGGTGTTACTTGGATCTACTACAAATTTCTAGTGCCCCATCAACTGTTTATCCAACAAATTTAATTCTAGTGAGTAATGGTCACCTAAATCAAATTTCCTAAGTTTGTGAAATGGTGTAAGTTGACCTTTCAAGATCACTTTCAGCCCTCAAATACCACCATAATACTCCTTGGCAGCACAAAAATATGGCAATCTATGTTATAGTCTAAGGACTGCAAAGCCTGACTGAAACCTAGAAGTTTCCTACCACTCTTCAAGTTTCTTGGAACCAGAAGATGCTAACAGATTAAAAGCATGTGACCAAATGAGCTCTGCTATCTAATAGGAATACAGGAATACGCCAAAGAAAATAGCCTGATGAGAAGGGAGTGGATGGAGGGAGTGAAAGGGCTGCAGAAACTGAAGAAGATACTAGCAGGGCTTAATCTGGGCAAATCTCATATTCTTTTGTTGCCCGCTGGGTGAACAGAGTTCAGAGAGCTTTCTCCAGTTAGTACAAAAATCCCTGAGCATGGTCACAACACATGGCAGAAAAGTAAGCATGGGCAAAATAATTCGCTTGATGTGAAAAAGGATTATGATCTGAAATGCTTGAGGGACTATTAATGCAGAGAGACAGGCACAGGAATGGGAGGCAGGAGACAGATAGAAGTAACGGTCCTGCCGTCATCATCATTTACTATTTACTGAGTGTTCATAATAGACTGGGCCTCACACAGCTGAATGACTCACCAATTCCCAACTCAGAAGAATCACTGAACAAGGTTCTTATTCCCCCACCCAAGTGCAGAGACAAAAAGAGTTGTCATTAGTCTCCATCACAGGAGGGCAATAAGAAGTAATAAAGTTCAGATATTTGATGAGAGTTAAAGAAAGGTATTATCTTTAAAATTCCTAGAGATTTCATACTTGGTTCATTTTGCATCATTTTGCAAAGATGTGGGACAAATTTTTTAAATACAACGTCCCAAGATGGAGAGAAGAAAGGAGGCAATTAAAATATTGATGAAAGCATTTTCATCAGTATTCCAAATCCCAAGTAAAAGTCTATGACCTAAACTAATGTCAACAACTTTTTGAGTAAGGAAGGCACTAAATGGAACAATAGTGGAAACAATGTGAAAACTGTCAATATAAAGGCATCATTAGGACGTTAGCAACATCATTATAAACTTGTTCTGCTAATTATCATTGTAGCATTTCATGCCTGCACTTTGGCCATTGGAGGCAGCATTCATAAAATGACAGGAAGGCAATAAATTCAACACACTAAAGATCTACTATGACTAAATTACTGCTGCCAAATAGAACAGAAAACTAATAGCCCACTGTGGGATAAAGTACTGGACCGCAAGGTCATTTTGAACTACAGGATCGACAGTTGAAACTCACCAGCCACTCCTAGGTAACCGTAGGAGTCGGAATTGACTTGACGGCACTTAAGAACAACAATAAAATTAAACTGAGAAAAGAATAGCTTGATGTTTTGTGGTTCTTCCAAAAGGCATAGGTAATTCTAACTTCCCCTACATTACACAATAAAAATGAGAAAAATTATTCCAGGGATGACTCCTCAAAGCTGACAGTAAACTCTCTCCAGGAAGAGGTACGACAAGAAAACCTCATTCACTCAATCTGTGAGACTGAGTCAAACTACCAGTGTTCTTTTCATATATAAAAATGACCATATCGTGGATTTAGTCATGTTCAGACAATTTAAAGAAAAAGCAGAAACACTGCTCTGGAATCAATTCTGACTCAGTGATTCTAACACAGAACAGAACTAACTGTTCCTTAGGGTTTCCGAGACTGCAAACACTGGTGTGGTGCTGTAGGATCAGCACTGGACTATGAACCACAAGGTCAGCAGTTCAAGCCCCCAGCTGCTCCTCTGAAACCCTGTACAGGGTTGCTGTGAGTCAGAAATGACTCCAGTACTTAACAACAACAAATCTTTACAAGGGCAGACAGTCTTTACAAGGGCATCTCAGGAATGCAAGAGTACTTTAATATACCAAAATCAATTATTGTAACACACCGTATTAACAGAATGTTATTGTTTGTGACATCAAGTAGGTTCTGACTTATAGCAACTCTGTGTAGTATTTATAAGGAGTGACTAGCAAGTGTGAACTGCCAACCTTGTGGTTTGTTGTTGTTGTTGTTAAGTGCTATCAAATCGATTCCAACCCATAGCGACCCTGTATAGGGTTTCTGAGGAGCAGCTAGTGAGCTTGAACCACTGACCTTGCAGTTCAAACAATTTTGCAGTCTGACACATTAGCCCACAGTGCCACACCAGGACTCCTGTGGTTAGTCCAGAGTTTATCTTACAGTGCCACACCAATGAAGTGGGAAAACCACCATGATCACCTCAAATGACACAAAAAAAGGCAGTTTGCAATATCTAACCACTCTTTTCACACATACACAGAAAAAACTAGAGATATCCGGGAACTTCCTCAACATGATAAAAGACATTTATGAAAAAATCCATTACCAAAGGCATACGACTGAATGTCCCTCCACCTGTGTTGATGCTGTTGTTATGTGCTGGGGAGTCGGTTCCGACTCATAGCGACCCTGTACAGGGTTTCCAAGGCTGTAAATCTTTATGGGAGCAGAAAGCCTCATCTTTCTCCCACAGAACAG